GAATTATTCAAATGAATTCGCGTTCCAGGCGGAACGCAATTTGAATCCAATATACGAATTGGAATTTTTATAGAACAAGAACGCAGCCTGCTCGATTAGTATTCGCTTGAACTCCATTTTTCCATGTATTCCCATGAATTAAGAGAAATGTTTGGTAAGCCCCTCGTAGAAGAATTAAATACGTTACGATGTGATTCCAGACTATTTCGATTAAATAATACACAAAGGTCAGCGAACCGGTGCGGGTTTTCCTAGAATCATTCTATTGTAAACATTCTATTAAATCCTCTCAAATGAAATTCCCCGGCAGTCATCGATAACTTCAAATTCGAGCTAAACAAGATCCCTACACGTTTCTGGAAAACGCGATGACGCGACTTGCTTGGACGTCGCACGCGACGCAATAGCTCCAGAGGTAACGAAGCTGGAAAGGATCGATTAGAAAGGTGTTACGACAGGCCAGTCACGATCGTTGGCGAAGGTCAAGTCGCACCTCGACGCCGCGCGACGCCGGAAGAAGAGTTTCCGCGAAGTCGGCCGGGGCTGGGAGGTACGGCAGACATTCGCAAGGTCGTGAAAGTAATTAAAAGTGAATCAAACCGGGAGAAAGAGGGGAGGTGAGTCGTAAGTACTTGCGGGCGGGCGCAATTAAAGCGTTACGAAACGAAAACATTCTCCTATGCGCGTTGCTTCGAGAAAACGTGGAATTCTTTTTGACGCACGGAGGCAGGAAGGAAGGGAATAGGATTGTCGATTCGCGATTCGAACCAGCCTTTTTCGTTTCCCGACCGATATTGATCCCCTCGGGGGGGGGGGGGGGGATGAGGAGACTCTATTTCCTTAAATCCAATAAGATTTGAAAGCGGAGAAAAGCGTGGAACGGATACCAAAAATTTGGAAAATAAGAAACGAACGGGTTCCGTAACCGATACGATTCGATAACGGAACGCTTCGATTACCGCCGCCTTCGGAATTTTTGTGGAAATGAAAAATTAAATATACTCGCAAAAATAAATTGAGAAAGATCATAGCGATGAGAAGGTTGTTTTTATCTTTATAAAGCTCCGAAGAGGACCGGTCTACCAGACGATGTGTTTCATTATCGAATGGCTTGCAGTATAAACTGGAGTAAAATGTATAGGTGGTTCATCGTTCAATTGATAACGCATCATCCGAAACTATTATGGTCTCTCAATGCATTCGCAACAGCTGACGTAATTTTTCGTCGTCTTCTCACCTATGGATTACGTCAGCTGTCCGCAGCTGGCGTAATTTTACGTCATTTTGTACTTATATGGAAGCAGGAGACTCTACGCTTCGTATTTATGATTAAAGCGTCTATAAATTGATTCGAAGTTCGCGTAACCGAGTGTTCGAGCGATGACAAATTAATTTCGCCTACAGGCTATTGCGATTTCATGAATTCAAATTTTCTAATTTGCGATACCGCCTGAGACATTCTAATAGTACACAGTGAAACGCTCCCGAGGACAAAATAGATCTGCACGACGCGATCTACCGTTGCAGCCGATCGAAGGCTGCGCTATACGACTCCTGAGACATCGCCAATGCACGCAACGCGCACCACGCTATTTATGCTCGCGTTGCGCCACGGGATCGTAAATCGCGTCGAGATCGACGTTAAAAAAAAAAAAAAAAAAAAGGAAGAAAGAGAGGAACAGCATACAACTCGTTCGAGTAATTGCTTCGACCGCATACCGACAAGCGACAGACTGTCGTTCGAATCGTTAAAAAAGTCCCGTAATTGCAACGCTTAAATGTTTGACCCGTTACTCAACGTCGCGGCAAAGCCGTCGATGCGGGAATCGGTTCTGCGAACAATCGGTGAGCAGCGTTTTCTAGCGACAAGAAGAGTCGCGTTACCGTTAAGCGTCGCGATGGAATTTCCTCGCGTGGTCGAAGCTGGTGCCACGGTAGCGCGAAATTTTGCCGCGTCCACGCTTCGTAACCGGACACTCGCGCCTGAAGAAGAGCGAGGAAACCGCACGAGGCAAGCGTGTCTTTCGGTGTCGAGGAAAAATGCATTCTTTTCAGTCGATCGTGCTACGGGAGTCCGATTCCGCGTTACGTAAGCGTAGTCCGCAAGTTTCTGTCTTTCCAACGACCTTCCTGTGATGGATCGAGTCGGCGGGTCGATGAACTTTTATAGAATGATCGAATGGAAATTTTATTGCATAGAAGCTCGGGTTAAATCAGGGTGTTTCGGTAAAAAAAAATTCACAGGGGACGCCTTTATAATGTCCTAGGACCTTTTTAAAAATGATTCCCACTCCCCGGACTATCCAAGCCGAACCTATTCCAAAAACTGACCAAACGAAAATAAATTTCCACTTTCGACGAATTGAAGCGCGCTCGCGATGACGGTCTGTTTCGGTTTCGAGCGTTCCGAGCCATCCATTCGCTCGCACCCTCGTCTGCAGATGTCGATTTATTTCGTAGACGCTCTGTTCGGCCGGAAATAGAAGTACCGAACACCGTTTGAGGGCGGGTCGATTTAAGAAGCGAGTAAATTTCCTACCGCGAATTATTCCGCTCGCGCAACCGTCGGCCGAGCGAGAAGTTACCATCGAGGCAACTAGATTCCCAACGGCGACCATAATCGAGTTGAATTTTTAACCGGGATTGTTGCCACCGGTTCCTTGAAAGACGACAGAACTAATCGAATTAAAAACGTTCATGAATTTTAATACACTCAACCCCGGGCGAAATGAGTTTTCGCGGTGTTTCTTCGTTCGATTCCTATCCCCCCTCCTCCTCCCCTCTCCCTCCCGTCGTCGAAGACTCGCCTAAATCTTATATTACTTGCGCAGCTACTTGCCTCGGCCCCCCCCCCCTCCCCTCGGGGTGCCGGGGATTAACAATTTCTGGGAAAAGACGGCTTATGCTCTTAGCCATACTTGTGCGAAATTTTAACTCTTGTTCCTAATCTTTATCGAGCAATTTATTCGTACAAAATGATTTCACCTTTATTCGTCGCGAGACTCCAAAAAGTCAGGGTTACCTTTTTGCTCGAATAAAAATCTGAAAAATGCCGTAAATTACCGGGGAACGTAATCGCACAATCGAGTATTAAATAAATGAACGAATCTCTCGCGAAATCGGATAAACGCGGCCAAGTTTGGCCGTAAAAGATTCGAGATGAAACTCGCCGATAAGCAAGAGGAAAGGAAAACTTTCCGCGCGGTTTCCGGGGGAAGGAGCAGCAGAGAGAGAGAGAGAAAAAAAAAAGAAAGAAGTAAACCGAACTGCGGATTGTGGGTCACCCGGCGATCATGTCCCACTTTCTCTTTTTTCCAGGTTTCGTGGACGGCCCATGCCCACGACCCTTCGCCTCCTCTCGACGTAAAACGATCCTCACGGGAAGCCATAAAACTTATGCCGTGCCCATACTCGCCCGGTCCGATTGTACTTTCGGCGTGCAAAAACTCGTGTCCCCATAAAAAGAAATATGTGGTTACGAGGAACGTGACTTTTAGTGGAGTAGGTCTACGAGTACTTGGGTACCTGGATGGCTTTGTTGGGTTCTACGATAGCGAGGCGCAGAACCGACGTATTCGTTGCAAATAGATTGGAAATGAATTTCGATAAATAATTATCTTCAGTATCCTCTAAATGAAATTCCATTCTACTTTATACTATACGTCCTGTACTAAAGGATCAGTCCTATTATCAATTACTATTTTAAAATCTACTATTTAATGATACCTATTATTTAAAACGAAATAGAGTATTTATCGAAGCCCATTCGAAATAATATTTCCTTAGTAGCGTGGAAATTTGTCCTCGTCGCTATATTGGAACGCTGTCCATTCGGCTCGGAGGTTGAGGAATATATCCACGGCAGATTGGGAGCTCCAAACGCAAAGGGATTACGAGGCGAAGAGAAAGAAATACGTTTCATGTAAATTCCCTCGGTTTCCACGGGTACGACATAATTGCCCCCGCGAAATGGACCAAGGTAAATCTGTTCGCGCAGAGGGCCAGGGACACGCGGTGTAAAAGAACGGTACAAAGCGATAATGGCGGAAAACGAGGCGAGATGCAAATGAGAAACCCTGCATAGTGAGACAGAGGGGTGCTCGCAGGTGCGCGCTGTAATCGATTCCCGCGATCGGTACGAGCGGAGAGGAGCGATGCTCTGCGAGGGATTACTACGATTATCCGAATAATTAGCCCAGAGTTTCGGGATAGAGGGGAAAGGGACCGGCAAATAAAGCTTTGGCCCAGCCAACCGACGAATTCGAATTCCATCGGTGCATTTGGTCGCATAGCTTCGACGCGGCGCGTATAATCGACGTGCCGCTCGCGATTCTTCGCGGGGAAAAATTCGAAACTAGCTCGAAACTGCGCTTGCCACCGGGTCTGGTTAATCGACATTCGATCGCGATTCGTTCCACGCGAAATCGCGTTTTCTCCGACGATTAATCTGATTGGAATTCTTTCTGTTTGCTCGACGTGCCGACGCGATAAACAGAAAAGCGGTTCTTTGGATGGTTACCAAAGGAATTCGGAATGATTTTACCCGATTGTCGAATTCGGTGACTTAAACAGTAAATAAATAAACAGTAGTAACGATGTGGGTGTTGTCTCAGCTGTTTCTAAGTTTCTAATAGCGATTTACGGCCCGGTAGCCTATTAATCGCCTTTTTACCATGGGATTTGTTCCCATCATTATGTGAATAATGAATTATTATGACAAAAAAAAAAAAAAAAAAATATAAAAAAAATATACATGTCGAATCGAGTAACCTCGTCCTTTTCGAAGTCGGTTAAATAAATATTAATCTGAAAACGAATGTAATAGATAAAATAAATATTATATAGTACTAACGTTATGAAAATAAAAGATACCATAAAATTCAATCCAATGTAATGTGTTAATTCGCTATGGTAAACGACTGGCCCTCTGGGGGGGAAAGTACGCTCGACAGATCAGGGCTGTCATGAAAAGAAAAGAACGATAAAACACAATGACTCACCTAACGCTTTGCAGCTTCCGCCGTGCAGGGAATCTCCTGCGAGTTGAATGATGGCCATGAGAAGATCACCAAGCATCAGGCAGGCGACATGATGAGTCTGGCAACGCCAATGCAGGACGTGATGAGAGGCGGGCAACAACCAGCCAGCAGCCAACGTTGCTGCCAGGAAGACCGCGCTAATGATGAAGCCCACGGGGTACAAGGTGAACCTGATATCGGCCGCTTGGATCTTCGGTCTGCAAGTTACCAAAGGAAACAAGTTAACTTTTATTCTTTCTTCTGTTTGCACGTCTTAATTAGCAAAGTCGGTCGGTCTGTCACTGTCGGCGCTCGAAGAATTCACGTACCGATCGTCGCGAAATTTCGACGCGTCGGCGTTGTTTGCTTGACGGGAAACGTTTCTGTTTAATTTTCCAGTACGACACTTACACACGGTTTCTCCACTTTCTGCTGGGGTTCGAGTAGCATTAGTAAGCACACTTGACTTGTAATCGTAAGTAGACTTAGCGAATATACAGAGAAATTCGAGAAATTATTCGACAATGTGAAATATGACACGCAGCGACATGGCGTGCTCCTACACGATGAGTTATTACGCGCCGGCGCCGCTAAGGGCGCTGGGCCATATACAGGGTGTCCCAAAACCGCGGCCGCTCGAACGGTCTACGCGCGCTCTGATTGGTCGGGGTTTTCGCTTAATATCTCCTTAACGAAGCCCCATCCGACATTTTTGCAAAGGAAATTGTTGTTCAGAATCGTCTCAGCTACCCCCCATTTCCGGCTCCTCTCCGAGTTTTGGGACACCCTGTATGTTCTTAAATACATCGATATATTTCATTAATATGATTTATATGATTAATACGATTTAATAATAATGATTAATATCATAAACATTAATCTAATAGACAAAATAAATATTATATAATTCTAACATTATGAAAATAAAAGATACTATAGAATTTAATCTAATGAAATGTGTTAATTCGTTAATCGCGCGGTAAACGAAGTGCCCTTTGAGGGGGGAGGCACGGACGACGGATCAGCACACAAAGAGAAAATAGAGGCAAAACACAACTGCTAACCATATTAATAAAATGAATGTCAACGGCAAATACATATTAATAATCGCGAAGAATATCGAGAAACACGTTTTGAGATCCCCCTGATCACGGTTTGAACGTTGGAAAAACTATTTTCAATTGCATTTTTGCCAACTCTCTAAAACATATTCAATCATCCGTTACCTTCTAGATCGACTGAAAGCGAATTTACGATTCCTATTTTACGTCGCGACTACGTAGCATCCCACTGATAATTTCTCGTCTCGACATAACTCCTTTTCGTTTTACGAAACGCAAACCCGTACAATCGGTTCCTCAATTTCAACGTAAATCTACAACCTGTTCTAGCCGGGTTAGCCAAGCAAGCTCAGCGAGTGAAAGTCCAAGAGAGAAATCGTACCTCTGATTCCGAGATTGTTTCAGCTTAGTCACGTCGACGAACGTCTCTCGCGGCGAATGAATAAACACACTCGTCGCGAATAGGGAAAAAAGCCATCTTCCAAGTAATCAACGTGTGCTGAACATCAGGAACGCTCCAAGCGTCTTCTTCACGCTGCACGTACGTTCGTACGACGAGTAGTGTCTCGTACGTATTCGCCTTTTTTCGCCGCCAGAGCCGCAACCACTTTCGCGCGTAAGCGTAAAATTAACCCGGGAAAGTTCAAACCTACCCTTTAACTTCCAGTCTTCCACTGATTGTTTTGTAATATGAATGCAGAAATAATGCATCGACCGAAGATTTTTCATCTTATTATACAGTTCTTCTAAGATCGACAAGGCTTTAAATTATTTTCGCACTTACACGCGAATCAATTTCAACGGTGAAAAAATTACAAGTAGCAGGAGACGTCACCGACGGAGGAAATCGTTTTCTACGCGAACGTATTTGTTTCCTTTCGTCAATCGATCGTTGCGAAAACTTTTCCTCGAGTTATCGGATCCCTGTGTAAACGGACAGGCGAACACCTTCGCTTCTAAACGAAACGAAACGACGATGTGCGGTCGTAGCTTCAGGTGGTACGGCGGTCACTCGTAAAAGCTGCCTCCTCCTCGGCCGCGGGCCACGTGTACACGGTCGCGTTAATTGAGTTTCGAGCGTTGCTTTGCAAATTGCACGCGAAACCCGTGATACGTTTTCTGTGTAATTTCCGGGACTCTTGCGCTCGCGGACCCTATTAACGCCCATCGTCCCGGAATCCCGAGTCCGGACTGGACGAAAGCAACCCTCGCAAACGGAATCCATAATATCGAACCCCAGAACGTTGAAAGTTGTTTAAGAAATTCTGTTTCCATCCGTGTCTCGTATTTCTGTCGTTCGTAACTAATTCCCCGCGATATTCCATTCCATACACAGAACTTCCTGCTGTCGCAGAAATGCTCTTCGGGTGGTATTTACGACGGATAAACTTCGATCTTGTGTATCGATCCTGATTAGTAGAGAAATATTTATAAAACGCGATTTTCTCTGAACTACGTCGCGAACCCAAGATCTTCCTTTCAACGTATAAGAACCACTGGAATACCTGTTACGTCCGGTACAACAAACCCTAGAGTACACAGTGCCGCTATATGTACAATGACGAACAGGTTCTGTCGTTTTAAGGCATACCAAGTTTGAAGATCGAGCGTTCAGAAACGAAATTCTTCATCTTTCGCGTTCGCCACGATCAGAAAAAGGCTCGTTTCGAATGCCGATCGTTCGAACGAGGGAACGAGTCACGAATGACGCGACGTATCTCGCGGATGTGACCTAGAAATTCTTCGACAGAGGAGTGAAAGTGAGCCAGCCAACTTTTTCTGGAGGTGTCATCGATGAAACTCGGTATGTTCATCCGGGCTACCATCGAACATGCAATTAAGCCATACTATAAATCAAGATTGGGACAGCCGATACTTAACCGAGCAAAAAGACGATTCGTGCTCCAAGCTGCAAAGTGGGTCGCTGCATCGATCCACTTTGCTCTTTCGTTAAACCCGAACGGATTAATTCGATCAGCTATCGATTGAAAATAAACTAACTGGAACGAGTGCTCGTAGAAGTTTGTTGTAAATTCGATATTCTTACGATTACAAGTGTTTTTATTAAGATTCTCTTTCAAAACCGCCCACTCAATGTATCGGATTGGAACTGGAAACATAATCGTATGCGCAATTATTATTTCAGACAGCCGCTGTTTATCCATTATTCACGATTTCGGCCGTGTTTTCGCTGCGCGGTTCGTTTTCATCCGGTCTGGCAAAAGTTCGAAACACGCGCTCAGCGACGAGTTCCCTTCGTTACTTTAATTTCGTTTAACGCAGAGGAGCGAGTAAAACGGTCGTCGCACTGTTTTTGGGAGCGTGAAGCTAACGAGGGAAAATCGGGTTGCAGCGTTGAAAAACGAAAGGGTAATAATAATTTTCTTGTGCACGATTGCGGAAATATACTACACCGAGTAAATTACGTAGCGACGCTTTGTTGACTCTCGTAGCAAACAGTCGTTTAGGAGTTCAACGTCGAATATTATTCAAAGCTCTATGATATATTCCTTGTAGATACATCATTTGCTAACGAGTCTACCGTTTCATTCTGGTCCTGGATAGTTTCATTTTCTTTGTTACCAAGAGACAGAACGATAACAGTAGCCTTTGAACGTACCTTTGCGATGCATGCTCCGAGCAGGCGAACACCTTGACCACCTGGTTCAATTCTTTGATCCTCTCGACGCAGAACTGGCCGGTAGGTAATGTGACCCCGTCTATTTCCAAGCCACCGTCTGGCAGTAACACGGCATCCTTCGCGTCCCCCAAAATCGTGAAGTTGTCCGAACGTGGACATGTTGGGAATCCTGACACGATCTCGACGGCGGAGGATGCGTTCGGTAACAACGGCGTGGCGTCTGCAGCTTCCTTTAGCTCAGCACACGTGTGTCTGCAAAACATTAACAACTTTCACGTTCCTGTTCTGTCTGGGCAACCGTTGTTTTCGATTTTCACTGGAGATGTACCAGAATCAAGCGCTGAAAGACGTATACCTCGTTCCTAGAAACGAACGAGTTACAAGGGCTGCGCGCTGTGATTTTTTCTCAATCTTAGTCGCGATAGGTGGTTAAAAAATTTCAGGAAACGTATAACGTACATCTCGTCGCTCGCAATAAATATGTAAATGTTTATCGCACGGCGCAGTGATGATGGATGGCGGTACGCTGCAGTAAAATCTAATGTAATGCAAATTCAACGAACGATAGGTTGTAACATACAGGACGAATGATTTATGTTGCGATGTTTTTCTGTCTCTGAATCAATATGTATAGAACTTGGAGTGACAAATACATTTTAGTGGATTTAATAAATTTTAACAAAAATACGGTCTTTCCAACGGTCCATCACTCTTTCGACTCGTTGGCTGTTCGATTGGAATAGAATGCTCGGAGCGTAAAGGGTTAATAAACCTTTCTCAGACTACAAAGGCTATGAATTAGCAGAATCGCGAACGATTGGAATTTCAGCTGCGAGCCAGGCTCGCGCAGTTTTCGACCGTAAACACTCGCCAGTAAATATAGTCGGTCGCACGAATGGAAGGCAGTGGTACCATGCGCCACGAAAGAAGGTCGTATCGCAGGAATTTATCTAGGAAACGCGCGCTGGCTGTACAGAATGCCAACAAAGTCCACGGAACGCCCAAGCATGAGCGATTGGAAACGCGATTAAAACCGAAACCGACGTTTTCTGTTTACCCCGAACGTCACGCTTGCATCGCAAACAAAACGCGTTCGAGCGACGCTCACCCTCCCCAGCAACCGTTCAATCATTCATTTTTGACCCGAGTGTCAAACGACAACCCACCTTTCAATGGAAAATACACTGCACCAGATGAAAGCAATAAATCCCGCGAAATCGTCGCGACCACCGTTTTGTTCGATGCTAATCGCCGTTATCTCGACATTTCGAGCCATAGTGGCAACACTTGCCACATTTTTCGTTCAGTTATTAGTTGCTTTATTTTCGTAGATCTTACGTTGATTGTATTTAAGTAATTGCAGTAACGTAGTCGACAACTGCTTTTCGCGAAAAGAAGTAACCTATGATATTTACATCGCGTTTGAACAGGTAGGCACGATACGACCTTCTGGTTTCGTTCGTTTTATTTGTTTTTGAGTTGCGACCACGTATGAATACCGTATTTATGAAACCGCCCCGTGTTTACAGTTGGGACATCGGATCCACCGACATTCGAACATTTAGGTATGTAAACAAAAGTACTCGGATTTAAATCGAGACCCGACTTGTCCCAAATCTTTGAATAAATTGAAGCAAGCGTAGTTTCTGGCTGATTGATTCCAATGTTAACGCAACCTCTTCCAAGTATCTCGGATACGGGCAACATCTTCGTGGACCCATCTTGACAAACACGAATAACCCTAACGCGCTAAACTAGTTTCGACTATCACCTACAGATTGTAGGGAGAACAGGAATATTAGATTTGTCGAACCGCTATACCGACCCGGATCTTTTGCCCGCTGGACGACTGTTCTACCAATTAAGCTATCTAACGCGGTGGATCCCTTCGTATTGTGTAAATAGTAAAAAGATATGCTCCGCTATACCTCGACGCTTATTGTTATCTTGTACCTGACTCGTAAGCGATCGTTTACATTATGCTATCGCGTTCGAATAGTGCTTACGCGCCTAACAATACGTTTCCTTTGATACCGTGGTTAAGAAACGGATCGTTTATGGATCTATGTTTGCACGTTTCGTCACTGCAGTAGAATATATTGTCGAAGTTTAGTTCCCTATCTTAAGAACACCGTGTGTCATCGAACTGCTCGCATATCAGAGTACTGCAATGCACAAGAATTCTCTACGAACGGTTGATAACGAATAGTAATTTATTAGCAATTTATTTATTAATTTTTTATTTATTGGCCTATTCGATTTATCGATAAGATTTTTAACCAAAACTTACATTTCCTCGTGAAAAGCCGCGTCCTCGTCGCAGCACCGACGAACCCTGGGTCTCATGGTCGCTGCGGCGTGATTTCCCTCGATTCTCTTCTGCACGCACACCAACAGAGCGTTCGCGTCCACGCAGTACTGATCGGGCTCGAACTTGTCATCTGCGTGGACATCGAGGATTGCCTGTCCGTCGTCCAAAAGCACGAACGGATTCGTGCTTCTGTAGGGCACGAAGGTCAGCACAGAGTTGTCCCCGCACTCTGGCTTCCTCCCCTGAACGATGTTCCACTCCGGAGGCGGATTGGACAGGATCGTCTGACGGGACGGCGAGTAGATGAAGGGTTTCCACACGTTCGCGGTGGCTTCGCAACGGGTCGCGGTGTCCGCGTCGCCGTCGGACGTTTTCACCAGCTCCTCTTTGTCGCGACAACACTTGAGGATTCTTAGTCTCGATCGCGCGAAATCGGTTGGCTCCGAAGCGACCATCGTCACCAGCACGGCCAAAATCGCTGCCAAACGAAACGCCTTCATGGCGTTGCTTTGTGAAAAATACGCGGGAACTCGATTAGAGCGGTCGATCAAACCGAGGACATCACCTGGAAAAACGACACTCCGTTTTACAGTCACTTGTCCCTCGCTGGAAGACTCGATACGGTTAGAGGAATAGAGAAATCACTGTTTTCTTAATCAAGCTTTCGGTAATACAGTTCCAGATAGTGGTCTCAGGCTGCTCGCGAACGACACTAACGATAACCAGTCCCGAACGATCTATCAGACCTCTCTTAGCGACCCGAAATTGGAGCGATCCTCGTATATTTGTAAACAGCGAATGGAACGTTCACTGACAGAAATTCTGTACACTTTTTTTTGCCTTCGGATAATAAAGTCGATCTCGATACGGACCAGTTGACGTATGGATGACGAAAAGAAGCGTCGAATTACATGTATAAAAAGTCTGTTTTGGAGCGTCCCGAGGTATTCTTCAGGATCGAAATCAGACGTGACTCACCCGCTCGGAGGTTTCGGAGTTACTGAAGCGGTCCGACCACGCGGCCGCCTCTCGAGCCACCGGGAGCAGCGTGCTCCGAAGTGCGCGCGCAGACACTTACTGCTCCCGCCCTTATTCAACCGCCTAGCTTTCTTCTTTCTTCGCAACGACCTTCGTCCACGATGCCACCTTACTCTGCGGGGGTAGAATTCGCGACCACGTGCTCGATCCCACTAGCAGCTTCCTTCCCGGAAGTGCAACGGTACTCTGCGTGGAGCTCTGTCCTGTGTTGTTCCCCGTGGGAAACGCGCGCGTCTTTTCATTCTCGATTCCTCGCTGTTTGCTTACCGCCTTACCCGTTCCTGCGACTTATTTGCATCTCGCTCCTGCGCGTTTGCCAAACAGTTCTACGCGAGATTGGACTCTTTTCCTAGCAAGAGTATCCTATATTTGAATAAGCTTGCTTCCAGGAAAGCCTTTGACACGATTCATCACAATATTTTGATATCCAAGTTGACTTTGGTATACACGGAACCATATTCGAGCGGAATAATGAAAATACGCACAGCTCTATTTGTCCTCGTCAACAAAAAAGGACGACGTTGCAGAACTGACAATATGAAAATTAATTGATGTTAACGCAGCACGTTCGTAGAACGAACAACAGTATTGCTCCGCTGTGTTTTTATCATTCGTCGAGTGTAACAAAAATTTATTTTCATTTACTAAACGAACGTAGTTATCAATTGCAACTCGCTGAAAATAGCACCCATGTAGATTCACCGTGTGGAATAAATATAGAGTCGCGTGCAAATGGAAATAAAGTTTATTACCCAACGTTTCGACCCTGGCTGAGGACCCTCTTTGACGAAGTACAATGTTGCCGCAATGTTATATCAATGATAGTTGTACAAATTATTGCACGAAAAATCGTTTCGTTCATGGCAAGGATAATTGTATGGCACTGCCATTCGACGCTATGTCGAGCGACAGGTGGTAGAACAATTAATCGTTACGTATGTGATCCCATTATATACACTTGTGGGCAAAAGTTAAGAAACAAGTTATTCATGGTCGTTTCCCTAAAAATAATGATTTTTAAGATATATCATTGTTGAGGCAAACGAACGTTTTCTTAAGATTTTCGTGTAGTTTTCAAGTACTTGTAAAATGAAAATTCTTGTAAAATTAGAGCTCGTTAACTTTTGTCCGCAAGTGTCTACGGAATGTTGAGGTCACGCCTACTATACATTTGCTCCTATCCTTACGAGAAAATATCGCGCAATATGTAGTTTGCTAATTACCCTGCTCAGAATGATTCGGAGACAATGTTTTCTCGACAAATTTAGAAACGTCGAACAACTGGGTTTTGAAATAATCCTCTCTATTTAAAGTAGGCTAGGTAAAGAAACTAACATCTTACGAAACTTTGTTAAAGAGGCCAGGTCTCCGATATTTCGCAATTCGATCCAATTATTCCTTTCCCAAAAAAAAAAAAAAATTATGAAGCAACCTCAATTATAAGATCGAGTTACTCCGCTTCCTATACACACCGAACCAAAGATCGAGATGATCGCGGAGTCGGGACCGGAGGCAGCACGATTCCCCAGGCTTCCGGGAAGATACAATGGCCGAGTGGAATCGCTGGGAAAATATACACTAACGCCCTCGCGTTCATTATTATTGACACAATAAACACGGAGCGGCGTGGCGAGCCATCTCGGTATCGCGAAATTACCATCTCCGACTATGTATTTTCAAAGTGAACATCCTGGCCTCGGATAAGCAGACGCGGTTCATCGCGATGCAGCTTCTGATCGCGCGAAAGTCGACGGCGATAATGACCGCGAATGAAGGTAACAGTGCGCGAGTTCAAGTCCGTAAACCATCCTCGAGCAAACCGCGAAGACTCGCTCGGTGAAACGCTTTCCGCATAGAGCGCGCCGCTCGTTCCGATAATTTACGGTCGCGTTACGTTCGCGAGATTCACAACGTACCGCCCTGTGATCTCGTTCAACGGGACCTGATCTGAGATTCAGACTGTGTTCTGAAAGTCATTCGACTCGCGATGATAAGAACAATAATATTCCTTCGGTCTTTTGCACGCAATTTTAATTGCTTCGACATAGGGTGCAGTATAATAAATTCTTAATAAATATACTTTCTGTATTTCGTTAAACCGAAGTGAATTCTATTAGAAACCTAACCTTGATTACTCTCGATTCCCGCGAATCGGGAAATTACGTCTGCGTTCGCAACCGAGCAAAAAAGATCTCGTGGAAACGAAAATTCCAAAGAAACAATTTCCAGTTGTTTTCTAATTGCAAGCTTACCATGCCGAGGGAAACATTGCGAAACGACTTCACGGAATCGTTCACTGTTCGTCGATCGCCACCCACCAGCGTCTGTTTCGAGTTGGAAGTTTCTCGAAGTTGGTCCCGCGTCCAGAGTCCGCGGTCGAAAATTGATTTAAAAGCGTCGTTGCATCGGGGAAACCTTTCTCGCGGAAGAAAAACCGCCTAGTAGACTACTTTTTGCCGTCGCAGTCGCTTCGGAGAGAACGCGCGAGACGCCTGTTCCGGGCCGACGAGCGGAAACGGTTTAAAAGTTGCGGACGGCGCCAATTAAACTTCTTCGCCGTTTCGCCGCGGCAAAAATTGGGAATTTATGTCCGAGCTGTAGTCGTGGCTCAGCGAAAATTTTATCAATTAAAGTGTCCTTAGCGTCTTCGAGACCAGGGAAAACAAAGGAACTCCCGCTCGCTTCTGCCCCGCTTTTCTGCTCTGTCACGTGTTTGAAAACAATCAGTGGCGCGGCAGATTTGAATCTAATGAAAAGCGACGGTAGGATAAGAGTGTCATGTTTTTCTTTCAATACATAATTAGGTGTTTAGATCGTCTAGCTTTCCAGTCTAGTGCTCCAGAAATTCAACAGCATAAATATTTTGCCCACGCACCCCTGTCGCAGAAATCCTCTTCGTTTTTAGGGGTAGTATTTGCGCAAAGTTCGTAAATTGCCGCTTTAAAGTGTCCTTAACGTCATCCCTCCAACGAAAAGGAGAAAGCCCGGGGAATTATTTGTCGCGGGAGGCTCGGTGGCGCGAGTCGGGGCTGCTTTTTTTTTTAGACTTAATGCGAAACTTATAGCAAAATTAGTGGAGCCGGAGATGTATGCCGCAATTACGTGGCTGTCCGGCGCGCGCTGAAATATATCCCAGGGAGCAACGAACGGGTTTGGCGCGGCTCGCAATCGAGTCTCGCCGATAAAATCGTTTTTCAAATTTCGTTGCGAACGCACGCGACGTCGGTTAATAGGAAGCTTTGGAATTCGGGGCAGCCCCGACGCGCGGTAAATCACGTGGATCCACGAGGCTCTCCGACGCTGTGCGTCGCGACGCAACCCGCGCACGTTAATAGGTTTGCACGCGCGTATCCCTAAGCGTAATACAGATTTTATCTACCCCAAAGCGTTGTCTACCGACGAAGGGTACACGCTAACACTGGGGCCAGACGGTTTGATCCACGTTGCTTCCAAACGATTTCGAAATCCGGTGAAATCATTGCCCGATCGACCGTTACTCATTAAGGGAATCGCTCGTGCCCAACGATCGTATCGGCCGAAAATAATGCGCTCTGGGGGCCCCGTACGATAATGCAACTCCTCCCCCGATTCATCCGCCAGCCCACTCCCGGCTTGGTTTATGAATTGCAAAATGCAATCGAGCGCGGGATCCGGTTTCATTCGACTAATTGAACCGGCGGAATAATTAAACGAAACGGAGAAGACGCTGCAGGAGAATGCTATACATGCATTGCGATGCGCGATGCTGCAAATGACCAGGATCGGAGTGGATTTCAAGCGGAAAATTGTACGAAATGTTATTGCAACATTGACTACGATCGTTGAAAATTCGTTGAAGGGTAAAGAAATTGCGCGTTGGGAAGCTGCAAGTCTTTATGTCACTTCTTCCCTACGATAAATTTACACCGGCAACCTTCGGACAACCTGTAAAATATTTACAGCGCGAAACGATGGGAAACGCGAATTCTTTCCGCGTTAGGAGGGGAAGTAAAATACTATAAGGAAAGCTTGCAGGAATAAAGTTATTCATGCGACAGAGTTGACGATAAGGTTTTTCGATTAAGTCGCGATGCCGTAAAAGTCTTCCTCCTTCGACGAAAAGGTTACAGCCGGGGTCTGGCGAGCTAATCTCGAGCCCCATAAATACGAGGACCCATGGGAGGAACGTCGTCGATCATAGCGATTCGAAACAGGGGGCGAGAGGGGAAGGAAAATTAACACGGCTCTTGTCGAAGGAGAACGGCTCGTCGTTACCGTTTCAAGATAATCGCGGCAGCCTTGAAAGCTCGTAGACCAAGGCCCCGGAGGATCGCGGTCGCGTTCGGTTTATCGACGACCATCTTACATTATGCATTCTGTCGCGTGCACTTAAATGCCCTGGCACGGGTTCTGGCCAACCAGACGTTACCCGGCGTGGACTTTTTCTAATAGCAATTTACCCATATCTTTATCATCGAGGCGATACGCCCGATACGACGCGTCGTACTCGTGAAAGTAGACGATAAGTATCTCTTTCGGACGGATCTATCTATGATAGTTCAAAGACTTGAAAGCCCAAGGCAAACGTCTATGCGCGTTTGCACGCGTAAAACAACGTATTCAAGAGCAGTTCGTTTTCAAGCCGATTACTTTCGTTATACGGCGATTAGGCGATTCCAAGCTGTTCCCGTGGCTCGTTCCTTGACCTGTGTCAGGTTCGTTGAGACGGACGACAGACGTTTTTCCAACGAACGCGATTATCGCGGAGTCGAGGACTCCGACGACTGATCGGAGATTATTAAAATAAGCTTCGTTAATTAAATGTCCACGGAAGGGTGCGGCGAGCGACTTGGCGATTATTGCAAATTCGCTTAATTCGTCTCTGACGATCCCGTTAGCTAAAGATTTTCATTACGCCCAGAACTAGCGCACGCGGACGGAAGTGGAAATTACGCCTGGCGTAATTAAAAGTGGAGAAGTAAGACGCAAGGACGATTAACGAGGGTTTTCGTTGCGTGTCCACGATTCCTATCGATTATCCACCGACTACAGATCAGCCCTCGATCCAGGGAGGGACGTAACTCTTCCTCGGGATTGACTTATCAATA